GCGGAGTCGGCGAGTCGGCCGAAGCGACCCCGGCAGCCGAGTCACAGGTTCAGCAACACTCCGAGAAGAAGTCGAATGGTGTTGAATGTGTTTTCTTGCACGGATCACTAGAGTCTCTGAGGTGTTTCCTGTGCGGGAAGATTTGCGATTGGGATGAAGACGACAGATCGCACGAGACTCTCTCGGGGCGACAGCCTGAGTGCCCCTACTGCGCTGGAGCAACAGCTGCACGGCAGGAGAGGGGCAAGAGAGCGTTAGGTGTGGGCAAGCTGAGACCGGACATTGTACTCTATGGCGAAGAGCACCCGAACGCCCATCTCATTTCACCCATCATCACCCATGACCTGGGACTGTCACCGGACCTCCTTCTCATTCTCGGCACGTCACTGAAAGTCCATGGCCTGAAGGTCCTTGTCAGGGAGTTCGCCAAGACCATCCACAGCAGGGGCGGCAAAGTTGTCTTTGTCAACTTCACGAAGCCCCCAGAGAGTTCCTGGGGGGATATCATCGACTACTGGGTGCAATGGGACTGCGACGCATGGGTTGCCAACCTGAAGGAGAGAGTCCCCTTGCTCTGGCTGCCGCCCGGCACAAAGTTGCCCAAGAAGAAGAAGGAGAGCAGCGAAAAGACGAAGAAACGTCAGAACTCTACGGAAGAGAACTCGAAGATGGATGCTGTGAAGCCATCAGCGAAGCCACCCGCGAAACCATCTATAGCTTTGCCCACAGCTTTATTGGCAGAGTTGCCGCACGACTCGCAAACAGAGACGACAACGAAGCCAGAGAAGCCTTGCAAAGCTCCGAGGCTAGACAATGTAGTAAAGCCCGAGCCTTTAACGATACCACTGGAGGTCGCTGCTCCTCCCAAATCTGTACCACAGAGGCCAATGGCAGTCCGTGATGACAGGACGAGCGCTGCTTGGGTGACATGGAAGGTGATGGTGGAACTTCGCCGTATCGTGGGCAGCATAGCCCCGACGCCATCGACATCCCCAAAGGCCCTCCGTGTCGAAAAGCCAAAGACGAGGCGATCAAGAAAGTCTGCACCGGCTGCTCTGTCACGGCCAGCTCCTCCTGCTTTTTCAGATCAAAACGAGAAGAGCTTCCAGCTAAGACCAATCATGGCACAGGTGGAGCAGCGAGAGCCTGGCCATACAGAGTTGGCTCGAAACGAGGGTGCCGGTGCGCAAGTAACCATACCAGACGCAACGGAAAGCTCCATATTTGCTGCTGTCAAACTCAATCCTCGGATGCGGAAACGAAAGACGATCGACGGCGAGGAGATTTTTGTGCCCGGCATGCCACGCCCGGTCATTACTAAAGCCCTCCCACGGCCGACTCCGCGAAAGATGAAGGCACCACACGCCAAGGAGAGGCCGGTCATTGTGACGCCTAAGATTCTCTCTGACATTCAGCGTCCATCTATGGAGTCGCTCAAGTTGCCACCACTTCAAACGACCAAGGCGCCCGCCGCCACGCCATCAAAGCCTCAACCTTTGGAGCCTCTTAGTTCCCCCACGGGTCCTCTGACAGCCATCTCGTCCAACACGCAGACTCGGATCGACAAACGCATGGCGAATCCTTTCTTTCTGTCAGATCCTCTCTTATTACGGCTAATTCAGGCCCCTGACTGGACCCCTCCTCAAACTCATGGTTTCAAACCCACCAAAGTCGAAAAGCAACCCAACAAGGATGCAGACGCCGCCATGGCGTTGCAGGATCTCAAGCAAGGATAGTTGTCTGAGTTACGGCAGCAAACACACTCTTGCATGGAATTGGAAAGAGAGCACTGCATATAGTTTATGGATAGAGGAAGCGCTGAATTATACCCCGCGGTGGACTCTATTTGTACACCGCACTCCATATCGAGGTGCAATCAACATCCATGGTTCGTGACTTTTTTTCTGTTTTTTTGTTTCTTTTTTTTTTTTTTTGACTCAATCGCAACCCGTGACAGATGACCTCGCAAGGCTCTACCTTGGTACGCTTGCGTCGAGGACACGAGGGTACTGACGCTACACCCAGGGCCCTGCAGTAGGTAAAAGCATCGTCCACATTGCGAATAGGCTTTGCGTGCGATCTGGCGTGCCGTTGTTCGAGAAGGCTAGTACCAAAGCCAGCACGCTGCACCTGCCCAAGCGTAGAAAAAAACATCCAAGACTAGCCTGCGAGTCAGGTTTTGTTTGTCTGGGCTCTGGTCACACTCTGGCCAGGTCCGGAAGTGGGAACAAGAAGAGCGCCTCTTCCAGAGCTTGGTGCCAGTGTCGCAGTCCACGTGGAGGAGCTTTCTGAGGCTGGGCGTCAGCTTTCATACTTGGATACCTGCTGTTGAACAATGCCATGTCTCTTGGTTGTCACTCTCTTGCCAGAGATAACAGAACCGGCTACCAACTCCAACTTGTTGAAGAATTGGCGCGCTAACATGACTTTTAGGCTGTCTGGAACCACTTAGTTGTCAATAGTCTGCAAGGCAAATGGGCGCCAATCTTGTTGCCACTCCCAAACGACCGTATGAGAACCAAACAGTCGGTATTTCTGCGATGGCGAGCCCTACCTTCAGGGGTCCCCGGTCCGTCAAAGTCCAAGGATCAGGCACATCGTGAGCGAGCGCCAGATGGCCCGTTACATCCCGTACGATTTGGATCGCAAAGTGATAGCAGCAAGGGAAATGAGCCCATCGTGAGGCAGACGGACTAGACCCCAACGAGCTGTCCCGAGACAAAATGAGGGCTCTGACGACGCCCGGATAGCAAGCGGGGGGTCACGAGGGATGCGAGCTGTGGGACTCATGTACGATGTGTATTCTCCGAGACAAGAACAACATCCGTGAGATCGAGGTGCGGCTGAAGGTTGGCATGGAAGCCTGGGGGATTCTTCAAGTCGGTGAGACGATTCGTGGGCCGAGAGTGCAGTAGTCTCGGCCGGCGCACGTTCTGGCAGATTTCAGCTCCGTATCTGCAGCCTCATGATGGGCCAACAGAAGAGCGTTTCGAGAGGCGAAAGTCCACCTTTGCCGCTTGATACTTTGTGTGGAACTTGGAAGGCCGTAAAGGGTCCAGACTCTAGAACCTCGAATCTTCGGGTTCGCAACCTTTACGAGGCGTGAGTAGAGTTTCCTCGAACCTTTGGTCTGGATGTGTATACAGTCGGTCTGCCCGCTTCAAGTGCCGAGCCTTGCATATCGACTCGGAGCGGCCACGAGTTATCATGCCATTCAGGACAAGTGTCTGCCACAGCCTTTAGGTTCCTGGGCCATGATTTGCTAAAAAGCGAGAACAGAAAGAAACAACACACGATGAAGTATCACAAGGGCGTGGATGGGATGTCCTAGTAGCCCGAAAAAGACTCTAGCTCGTCGGGCCAGGCCTGGCAGACTAGGTACTACCTTGGGTAGGCGAGTTTCCCCAAGCTTGCTTCCTACTCCACCTGTCAAGATTGAAACTAACAATGGCCATGAGTCGTTGGCTGGATGTTTTGCCGGGAAAGCTGCTGAACGTGCTAGGGACGTTGTTGTATCACATCAGATACACGTGGTGGTTCGTCAAGCAGTTCTGAAAGGTGGCCGCCATGGTTCGAGCTATGCGTTTCCGGACAATACGTCCCTGGAGCCAGCAGCAGGGATTCCCGTCCATGGCACCCTAGCCCATGAAATAGGATATGCTAATCAGGGTGAAGTTGAAGCTTGTTGGCATATGCGAGACACGGGACAAAAAGAATAAATTTGACGAAAGAGATAGCGGGCGAGGGAGTGGCGGTGGCGCTTTTGGGGAAGCTGGAAAAACCTGGAGGGTGTCGAGGGGTGTTGAGTGGTTGGTTGTGAAGTAAAGTCGACTTCGGTGTTGTTGATGATTGGTAAGGAGGTGTGGTGCCTAGGTGTGGATGGTGTGGGAGGTGAGGAGTCGTTGACCGAGAAAGCTTGGTGGGAGCCGGGATGTCATTCGCTCCCGGGGTAGAAGGAAAGGGCGGAGTGGTGGTGGTGGAGCCCGCTAGAAATCACCGGACTTGCGCCCCATCCACAGGTGGCTTCCACCATTCTCACCTTCCAACACAGACGACGGGGGCAGGAACATTGTCGGGAACTGGGGAAATTGGCGCTTACCTAAGATAGTGAACGACGTGTCCACGCTACGGGTGTCTAATGGACCTGCCTTAGGTAAGGTAGGTGATTGGGAATTTGGGGTAGGTACCGTGGTACTTGTGGACGATGCCGAAATTACCATCCAGGCTCTTTCCCATTCCCTCGGGTAGGCACTGCCTCGTTGGTGGCTTCTGGGGTACTTGAGGTGGCGTCAAGGTGGTCGGTTCCTTCACCGAGCGAACTCTGTGCCTTCCTTTCCGAGGTGAAGTGGTCCAGATCTCACCTGCACCTGCTCACCTTGGCTCCTCCATCTAAGCAAGGAAGGAAGGGACGATCTTGGATCTTGATGGCGATCCCTGCCCGCTGTTGCACTGCACTCACGGGCCAACTCGCACTCAACCTTGTTCCGTTACAATTTACCCATATTCCTTTAACCAAATTTCAACTTCAAGTGACCACGATGCATTGCCAGCTTCCTTATTTTCGTCGGCCCTCAATCCGAACTTTGTCATAGCTTACCTCAACTAGGTACATATACAGGCTATTCCCATTGCAGTGGTTTCTTCAGATTCCCTTACTTGACAGGGCATTCTCGAGCTTAGCCGGACAAGCTCCTTGCTGAGCTCCATTCCCCTTCCGGCACATCCCACTCGTCTCTTGTGGAGAGCTCCGCTTGAGATAGGTGGGCACTTCGCTATACGGATATCTGCATATGGATACCTACGAGGAATACGCCCCCAATGGGATGCCCCAGTGGAACGCCACGAGTCTCACCTGCCTCATGCCTCTTTCAAACCCGCGAGGATAGGCACCGTGTGGCCATGCGTTTCCAGACCCTACCGTCTCAGTGGACTTGTTGATGACGTCTTCGAGAAGTCTAGCTTGATGGGAAAGCATCAATCGAATTATCAGCCACCCAGAAATGGGTTTACACCTCTCGTCATCGAGATCGCGGTTCATTACCTCCGGTGTAAGTATAACGCAAGAAAAACGAGGTTCACGACATAAAGAAACTGTCTCTGCTATCCCGTTGTCTAACGGTCTGGGGTGCTTTAGCCAATGCTTGACGCCCCCGCACCCTCGTCGACAAAGAGGAAGCAATCCAAATGCACACATATTGGCGTCTTGCCGCGTGTTGGCCTTCGCTCGAGCCAAAGGCCAAGGACGTGGGAATATCGAAAAGTCACAATTGCCGCTCCCTCTCCAGAATTCAATCGAGCGGTCGACATAGTTGACCACCCTGGACAAGCTAGGCCAACACTGCCCACTGTCTCACTTCAGACGACATCAGAGGACAACAAAACAATGTGGACGTTGGAGTGGTCGATCATGCTCGAATCCAAATCCGGTGGTTCTCTGGCATACGCTGGCGTTTGGTACCTGAGAAACCTCAGTCAATACCCATCACCACAGCTTCGATAACCCTCGATGTTATCCATGGAGAAGACGGTTTCCGCGCGGCTCCGGCTCACCTAACTTTGCGAATGACCTTCCAAAATTACCATACATCCGTGCGAGCTGCACTTCTTCGGAGCATCTTCATGACGTATTGGCAAATGACTTCTAGCGCTTCTCGGCAGGCATTGTCCGCTTGAAGAATTACAAGTCTCTACATATAGAGCCGCTTCTGCGCTTCTTGACACTCTCCTGAAGACGCTAGCGGACTCTTTGACGCTGGGCTGGGACCGCAAGCTCTCAATATCTGCCTACGCTGGGTGGCGCTTTGGCTCCTAGAAGCACTTGTGGGAGCGTCTTACCTACCTTAGTCTCCTTCTTCTCTACCACACACGCTACCAAGAATCCCACGCCTGGACGCTTCAGGAGACACGTCTGGCTGATCGGATTTTCCTTCTGCTGCCGCTTCAAAACATCACGTCAAAGCTTAAGCAACACGGGGCTTGTTTTCCCTTTGTCGTTCAGTTAACAAGCGCCGTTTTCTGGATTGTTTTGCACTCTGAAGTATCAGCAGAGTTGCTCTGCCTGCGTGGGGGATGCTTCGGTGCATACCAAAATCTGGGGCTACTACGGAAGATGCGGAAGACGATGGCGAGGCGGACGACTTACATTACATGATGGATAGGACAGGTACTTGCCGAGTACTTCTCGACTTGGAAGAAGTGCCACCACTTCAAGTCATAGGTTCGCCCGCACGAACGCCTCATGGATCTTCCAGAGCCTCGCTATTTCTAGCTTCGTAGGGCACTCGTCCTCAGTCATATCTCTACCCTCGTCCGCCAGGTTGGGAACACAGCTGTCTACTTTTGGTTTTTCATATTAATCGATCAATCTCAGCTTGCCAGGTTGCTTGCTGCTGACACTCCTCATCATCCTTCTGATTCGTCGTTTCGCTTTCTGACCATTTTGTTCTCGCCTTGCCGATTGGACCCCGACTACTGATCCGGCCAGACGCATTCTCGGATCGGCCACACACCACACCAACTCTGGGAATATTGCTCCTTGCGTTGAGCTGATACGCTTTTTGGGTGATCCACCTCTGGATGGGATTGGACGCCTGAGTTGAGCTGGCAGTCTGACGCTTGACGCTGATTCACAAGTTCGAATAAAGTCCAGGTGGAACGAACTTCACGACGGCCAGCCCGTTTACTACAAAATGGTCAACCCTAATCGATGGTCATGGTCAGCGGGGCCACGAAGAAGTTCATTCCGAGGGGATGCGGTGAGCAGCACTCAGCCATTAGCACGTTCTCCCGACAAGCCCATTTCGTGCGAGGTCGACGTCCCAAACGACCAAAACCTGCAGGGCGGCGCTACCAGTGTCTCATCGCGCCGTTTGACCAAGAATCGGTGGAGCTGGCGGCCAGATGCAGCCATATCGGTAACCCTGGAAGAAAACCAAGAGACAACACAGGGCGAGAGGCAAGACAGGGAGCAAAACCAGGATCAAGCAGCCACATCAGCAAGTAAATCCCGCCGGTTGTCGAAACTCATCAAAAAGACTGATGCCGCTCCTACTTCTGCTTCTCGAACAAAACGGAGGCCAACGTCTATGATCGCAACGACAAGCTCTTCATTCGGAGCATCGCCTTCTTACTTCCACCCCGTTTCCCAAGCGGCGCAACAGCCATCAGTCGACGGGGAGGATACTTCATCTCATGCAAACCCCCTTCCAAACCAACCTGCCATAGGGGTGAAGAACAAGCTCAATCGCTTTCTTAGTCGACACATTACCACCCGGCAAGTTGACAAGAAAGCTGTGCCGGTGCAACATCAGCATCAGCAGACACAGGTAGATCCGACACCGCCGCCATCCCGACAGCAGCAGCAAACACAAAGACCCATGCCGATGCAACCCCCGATGCGCCATCGTCTCCAACTCCACAATCCCCAGAACACGCTTCGGGCATGGCCAGCCCCCCCTGTCGCCCACATTCAGACTCAGGGTTACACTGACAACGGTCGTCTCGTTGCACCGCTGCCAGGGCTCGACGAAAACTCGCAGCTGCAGCTGCCGCCAGCGACAAGCCGACCCGCGACTGCCACAGGTCCAGTACCGGCAGCGGCGCAAAGTCTTGGTGTCGGTACCCCGTCGTCATTAAGTGCTGCACCTGCGGCAGACGAGACAGGGCTGCTGAACCGGCTTATGCGACGACGATTGGCTTCCAAGGACAAGGACTCTCAGAATAAGAAGACGTCGATTTCCGCCGGCAGCGATAACATAGATTCGTCCGTGGTACTCGATCAGCAGAGGACCACGGAGCAGTGCGAGACGCAGACACGGCCTTTACTGATGAACCCGCTCATGTTGAACCCGTCGCACCCAACACCTGCCGAAAGTGAGACTGTCTTGGATGCGCGAAGAGGCTCTTTGAAGTCCTCGGTGCCCCGATTCATACGTCCAGTTACACTATCACAGCAAGTACCGACGAACGCGACCCAGACTGCCGGCGTCGCCAACCCGTCCAAGCCCAAGTCGCCTCCCCAACAGCAGTCAACCATGCAGGCCTCGAGTTCCAATGCGCCGACGCAGCTCAAGTCGCGATCCAAACCGAGTTTCGGAAAGAGGTTCTGGTCGAGATCCGGCGCCAATGATTTTGGAGATGATAACGTGACCACTACCGAGACACCGGCAACAGCCTCGGCGCCGCGAACGGCCTATGTTCCCAAACACGCCGCGGCTGACTTTTCGCGCACGACTTACACAAATACGTCGCGCCACAGTCGCCATAGCTTCTCCTTTGGCAGCGACCCGGGTGACGGCGCTCAAGCTCTGGCCACAATAACGGCCGCCGCCGCCGCCAGGGTAAATGAGCCGGAGCAGTCTCTGGTGAGGCAACGGACGCCATCCGCAGAGACTGCCGAGAAGCGCAGGTCACGCGACATGTCGATTTCCAAGTATGAGGCGCCGCCTCCCCACGAACTGCACCGGCGTCTCGAGATCGTTAAGAGCAGCGAAATTGAAGTGGTGACCACTAGAGAACCGGTCGCGGTCGACCCCTGGCAGCAACAGCACAACTTGTTGCAAAATACTTCAAATACGTCGTCGACGAACGGCAAGGCTCCTGCAAGACCCCATGCTCCTCGGCCGTTGTCATCCAAACGACACAGCTTCAATCTTGTATCGGACCCTTACGCCAGAGACCTCACACCGCCAAAGTCAATTTCCCCAGTCGAGATGGAAGCGCCATTTGACCCGCCAAGCCAGCCAGAGCAGCAGCAGGAGCCGCCATCGGCACCGCCACGGCCCATCTCGTCTCACAGTCGTCCGCAGTCTGGACAAGAGACTCCATCTCAAGAGGCTGGTAGCCGCGAACCGACGGATTACGAACGTTTCGTGGCAGACGCTGAAGTTGCCGAACGCGAATATCACGCGCAAATGTGGCGGAACCTCGCACGACGTTCCGGGCACTACGGTTATAGCGACAACCCTTGGAGCGCGGCTCGACAGGGCGATGCTCCTACTGCGCAACGCAACAGTGTTAACAACAAGCGAAGCAGCGCGCAGTACTCGACGGGGGCTGGCAAGCGTGCAAGCATGATGTCGTTTGGCGCGGCAGACGATGAGCGCAACTTGATTTCGGCAAGCTTTTACGGCGAGGCGCCACGCAAGCCGAGTCTCTCTCACAGCGCTAGTGTGGGGGCAGATGGGAAAAGGGGGCTTCGACACCAGGGGAGCGTATCGAAGAGGATCTCGGACTACATTAAGCCACCAAAGCCATCTCAGGAAGCCACTTACGAAGATTGGCCCTCTGGTCGAGCCAACCGACGCAGTGTCATTGCTGGGATATCTGAATAAACATGAATGAGATATGATGGGGGAGGCTGCGGATAGAAAGGATTAGGTATTGCATTTGGGGTATTGGGTATTGAATGCATAGAGGGCAGAATGGATGTTTTGGGCGCAACATGGACAATGTCTACACCAAGACAATTATTTCCGGGGACGATATATCACGACTTAACCATTTCCTTATTTTCTCTACGAGGATCAGCCTCATTAAATCTATAAAACTTATATTGATATGCCGTTTGCAATGGGTTCCTCGCATGAAGTGATGTACCTAGGTTGTACGGAGTATCAGAAGTGACACGGAATGTCGGGGTCCTCAACCGGCGGGGCCCCTCGGCGGAGTTCCCTGGGCGGCGGGGAAAAGAGGAACGACGGCACGGATCAACCTCCTGAAGATCCATCACGGCGGAAATCTAAGGTTAAGGGCCTGGATGCATTGCTTAGGTAAGGCAGGGAACTTGGTAGCAGGGTCCACGTACGCTACGTACCCCACGAGCCACTGCAAGCGAATGATGACTGGCCACATCAGGCCAAAAGAGCCAAAAGAGCCCCCTGTTAGACTGCTCCGCCAGCTGTAAGGTGGCCTGTGGGTGGCCTCCCCAGGTGCCCCAGCTTCCCAATTTGCCATCGCGAAGGAAGAAAAAAGTGACAGATAACCACCACCTGGCTTTTTTTTTTTTTTTTTTTTTTTTTTGACATTGCGGATACAGTACGTAAATCTGTTGCCTTCGGCTGGCTTCTGCTTCCAGTTTCCGCCGCTCACTTCTCCGCCGCCAACAACGCGAGACCCCACAGTAAGGAAGGTAGCAGCAGCACCACCACCACCAACCCTGATTCTGCCACGGGTCACATCTCGAACTTCCTTTGCTGCACCTTCACACATCGCAACATCTCTTTGTTGTGCTCCATCTGCATCATCGGGAGAAAACCACTGTCGATGCAACAAGGGACATAGCATCAACCGACAAACAGCCCGTCTCCATTCATTTTGTCCGCCCTCCTGTCGCTTGATCCACGATATCGCGCGCGATCGCCCACCATGGCGCCTCTCGTGGACAACCCTCAGATCAAGGTGGCCGAGCTGTGGAAGCCTCTACCGACCTACTTCCACGCCTACGTCTGGCCCTTTGCCATCGTCTGGCCCATCTTCCTGCGCTACTACCTTACCGCCGAGCTTTACGAGAAGCACATCGCATCCGAGGAATGGACCTTTGTGTGGATCGGCTCCATCGTCACCCTTCAGTCCCTCGCCTGGTTGAGCACCCACTGGAGCGTCAACCTCCAAGCTACCTTTACTGCCACACGCGCCAAGTCAATTGATGAGGCAGAGCTCGTCAAGATCATCCCCGTTGCCAACGCCGGCTCTGCCGAAATCTGCAAAATCGTCCGCGACAAGGTAAGCCCGTTGCGAAGAAGCGAATTCCTCTTCTCTCCTACTCTCCGGCCTAACTGACCCAATATACTAACACCTGTACAGGTTGGCGGCAAGATCAACACCTCGTTCTTGTTCCAGAAGCGCCGCTTCATCTACTTCCCCGAGGATAAGTCCTTCCGAACCCTTGCCTACGATATCGATGCCGAGCCCAAGCCCAAGATCGGACGCTACCAGCAGTCCAAGGGCATCACAACCGAAGCCGAGCTGAAGAGGATCGAGGAGCACTATGGCGCCAACGCCTTCGACATCCCCGTTCCTACCTTCACCGAGCTCTTCAAGGAGCACGCCGTCGCGCCCTTCTTTGTCTTCCAGATCTTCTGTGTTGGTCTCTGGATGCTCGACGAGTACTGGTACTATTCGCTCTTTACGCTCTTCATGCTTGTCGCTTTCGAGAGCACCGTCGTCTGGCAACGCCAGCGTACCCTCAACGAGTTCCGTGGCATGAGCATCAAGCCCTATGATGTATACGTATATCGCTTGGGCAAGTGGACCGAAGTCCTGAGCGACAAGCTTCTGCCTGGCGACCTCGTCTCCGTCGGACGCACCAAGGAAGATAGCGGCGTCGCCTGCGACATGCTGCTTGTTGAGGGAACTGCTATTGTCAACGAGGCTATGCTCTCTGGTGAGAGCACCCCTCTCCTGAAGGACTCTGTACAGCTTCGCCCCAGCGACGCTCCCATCGAGCCCGAAGGTCTTGACAAGAACGCTTTCTTGTGGGGTGGTACCAAGGTTCTGCAGATCACCCACGGCAACCCCGACGAAGAGAAGCCCAAGCTGGCATCCGGCGTCCCGCCCCCTCCCGATAATGGCGCCATGGCTATCGTCCAAAAGACTGGCTTTGAGACATCCCAAGGCAGCCTTGTCCGCACCATGATCTATTCCACTGAGCGTGTTTCTGCCAACAATGTAGAGGCTCTGCTCTTCATATTGTTCCTTCTTATTTTCGCGATCGCCGCTTCGTGGTACGTCTGGGATGAAGGTGTCAAGAAGGATCGCAAGCGCTCCAAGCTTCTGCTTGACTGCGTCTTGATCGTCACTAGCGTCGTTCCTCCTGAACTGCCCATGGAACTCAGTCTTGCCGTCAACACCAGTTTGGCAGCTCTGGCCAAGCTTGCCATCTTCTGCACCGAGCCCTTCCGTATTCCCTACGCTGGCCGCATTGATATTGCCTGCTTCGACAAGACCGGTACCCTCACCGGCGAGGACTTGGTCGTTGAGGGTATTGCTGGCCTGGGACTGGGTCAAGAGGGCACAGGCACCCCTCGCGAGGCAGATGGTGCGCACTCAACCATGACTCCCGTCAACGAAATCCGCCTGGACACCACTTTGGTTCTTGCCACTGCTCATGCACTCGTCAAGCTCGACGAGGGTGAAGTTGTTGGCGACCCGATGGAGAAGGCCACTTTAACTTCTCTCGGCTGGACTCTTGGTAGAAACGACACCCTTGCCAGCAAGCCTACCACAGCTGCTGCTACTGGTGTTAGCGGAACTGTTCAGATCAAGCGCCGCTTCCAGTTCTCCTCCGCCCTCAAGAGACAGAGTACCGTTGCCACTGTGAACGGTGCCGATAAGGCTGGTAACAGGATCCGCGGTACCTTTGTCGCTGTCAAGGGCGCTCCTGAGACCATCATGAAGAGACTCTCCATCGTCCCTGCCGACTATGAAGAGACCTACAAGTACTTCACCCGCCGCGGTTCTCGTGTTCTTGCACTCGCCTACAAGCAGCTTACTGTCGACGACGAACTCGGAGGCAAGAAGATCAACGACCTCAAGCGCGACAACGTCGAGGCCGGACTCACCTTTGCCGGTTTTCTGGTTCTTTCCTGCCCGCTCAAGGATGACGCGAAGCAAGCCGTTCAGATGCTCAACGAGAGCAGTCACCGTGTCGTCATGATCACCGGTGATAACCCTCTTACAGCTGTTTACGTTGCCCGCGACGTTGAGATTGTCGACCGTGAGGTCCTGATTCTTGACGCACCCGAGGACAACGAGGGCGGCGACAAGCTTGTCTGGCGCAGCGTTGACGAGAAGACTATTATCCCTGCCGATCCCTCTAAGCCTCTTGACCCCAAGATCATTGAGAACAACGATCTTTGTGTTACCGGATACGCTCTGGCCAAGTTCAAGGACCAAGTCGGCTTCCGCCAGATTCTCCGTCACGCATGGGTTTACGCGCGTGTGTCACCCAAGCAGAAGGAGGACATCCTTGTGGGCCTCCGAGACATGGGTTACTACACATTGATGGCTGGTGACGGTACCAACGACGTTGGCGCTCTCAAGCAGGCTCACATTGGTATCGCTCTTCTCAACGGCACTATGGATGACCTTACTCGCATCGCCGAGCACTCCCGCAACACCAAGATGAAGGAGATTTACCAGAAGCAGGTTGACCTCATGAAGAGGTTCAACCAGCCCGCACCCCCTGTTCCCGTCATGATCGCCCACCTGTATCCTCCTGGCACCAGCAACCCTCACTTCACCAAGGCCGTCGAGCGTGAAGCCCAGAAGAAGAACGTCAGCCCTGAAGAGTGGCTCAAGGCCAACGGCGTCAGTGCGCCCATCGAGACCGTCACTTCTCCTGGTGCTCAGCAGCTTCTCAACAGCAACGACCCCAAGGCCGCTCGTCAGGCCAAGGCTGCCGCGAACGCCGCTAGCTTTGCCGATAAGATGACCTCTAGCTTGATGGAGACGGAAATGGGTGACGATGAGCCTCCTACGCTGAAGCTTGGTGACGCCTCCGTTGCTGCTCCTTTCACCAGCAAGCTTCGTAACGTTATTGCCGTTCCCAACATTATTCGCCAGGGCCGCTGCACACTTGTCGCGACCATCCAGACGTACAAGATTCTCGCTCTCAACTGCCTCATCAGCGCTTACAGTCTGAGTGTATTGTACCTTGAGGGTATCAAGTTCGGTGACGGACAGTACACCATCAGCGGTATTCTGATGAGCGTCTGCTTCTTGTCCATCTCTCGTGCTCGCGTTGTTGAGGGTCTCTCCAAGGAGCGTCCCCAGCCCAACATCTTCAACTTTTACATCATTGGCTCGATTCTCGGACAGTTCGCCGTCCACGTCGTTACTCTCATCTACATTGCCCGATTCTGTGACAGACTTGAGCCGTAAGTTCAATACTACTACTATCCTCCCAAAGCCAAGACTAACAATGCAACAGCCGCTCTGGTGACGTTGATCTCGAGGCCGAGTTCGCGCCCAGTCTCCTCAACAGCGCCGTCTACCTGCTTCAGCTCATCCAGCAGATTAGCACCTTCGCCATCAACTACCAGGGACGTCCCTTCCGTGAGGGTCTTCGCGAGAACAAGGGCATGTTCTACGGCATTGTCGGTGTTTCCGCCCTGGCCTTTTCCTGCTCCATGGAGTTCATCCCCAAGATCAATGAGCAGATGAAGCTGGTCCCCTTTAGCGATGAGTTCAAGATGACGATGACGGGCATCATGGTTATTGACTATGCTGCCTGCTGGATCATTGAAGTCGTTCTCAAGAACCTCTTCTCCGACTTCCGCCCCCGCGACATTGCTGCTCGCAGACCCGAGCAGCTGGAGCGTGAGCGCGTGCGCAAGGCGGCGGAGCAAAAGATCAAGGACGAGGAGGAGGAGAAGAAGGCGCAGGAGAAGGTGGCCGAGTTTGAGCGCAAGGTGGAGGAGCGCCGCCAACAGCTCGAGGCGTGGAGAACGGGCCGACAAAGGCAGTAGATGTGAGGTCGGGGTTTTAGACTAATTGTGCAACCAAAAAGAAGTTAGACATGCAATACTTGTGGAGAGAGGAAATTGTATGATAGGGAATGGGCATGAATGAGATGTGCGTACAAGTGTTCGATCCTTTAGCCTGTGTGACCTGACACCTCAATGTCATTAATAAGGTAGCCTTTTGTTTGCAACACGAGGCATAGATAGCCATCACAAGGGGACGAAGCCTACCTTGGTCAAACGTCACTCAAACGATCTTTATCAACGGGAAACTTTGGGGCGTTCTCTTGTATACATGTTGAAAAAGTAAGAATCCTGGACAATCTCAAATCACGACGTATCACGACATATCACAAGAATGTAGAGAACAGAATTTGAAGTCAAGCGTGTTTGAGATTTATGGTACAGAGGCAGACCCAAAGTCGATGCCACGAGTAGAAGTGCACAACCTTTTGTGTGCGCTTCTGTGTCTACTCGTCATCCCTCCCTTCCTTCTCTTTTGAAGCCGGTTCTTGGCTGGGAAAAGAAAAAGCAAATATGGGATGTGATTTTGTTTGTTTCCAAACCCTGCTCAACCATTTGTGTGTGGTTTCCATCTACTACAACACGTCCCCTAGTTTACAACAAAGTGACTGAGTGTGCACTTATTTGGGGGGGTTGGAGGCGACAAAGGCAACACCCTTGGCAATGTTCTTCTTGAGGTCGGCGAAGCAAGCCTCGAGGAGCTTCTCCTCAGCGGCGTCAACCTTGCCGAGGGGAAGGATCTTCTCGACACCGTTGGGGCCGAGCTCGACCTTTGAGGAGAAGAAGTCGATGCCCTGGTCCTTGTAGAGGGGAGAGTCGACAAAGGTGGGCTCAACGATGCCCTTCTCGCCCTGGGAGGCGCGGAGGAGGGACTCGGCCATGCGGGCACCGGCGAAGGCCATGGAGAGGGTGGCGGAGCCAGCGCCGTCCTTGGCCTTGACGACCTCGTCACCACCGAACTGAACGCGGTTGACGAGCTCGTCGTTGGAGGAGAGGTCGGGGTGGTTGGACTGGGAGAAGAGGGGGACGATGGTGACGCCAGAGTGGCCACCGACGACGGTGATGTTCTCGTCCTTGGGGTCGGTGGACTTGATCTCGGAGACGAAGCGGGAGGCGCGAACGACGTCGAGTGTGGTGACACCGAAGAGGCGCTTGGGGTTGTAGACGCCGCGGGCCTTGAAGACCTCGGAGACGATGGGGACGGTGGAGTTGACGGGGTTGGAGATGACGAGGATGTTGGCGTCGGGGCAGGACTCGGCGCAGGCCTTGGCGAGGTCGCGGACGATGGAGGCGTTTGTGTTGAAGAGATCGTCACGGGTCATGCCGGGCTTGCGGGGGACACCGGCGGGGATGAGGACAACCTCGGCGCCCTTGAGAGCGCTGGCGAGGCCGGTGGCTGTGGGGTCGTAGCCCTTGACAACGGACTTGGTGTTGACGTGGGAGATGTCGGCGGCGACACCTGGGGAAGAGTCAATTGGGTGCTGCAGAGGAAGAGGGAGATGATGACGAGCTTACCAGGGCCTCCACGAATATCGTAGAGAGCGAGCTCAGTGACTCTGGGGTTGAGCTTCATGAGCAGGGAGAGGGGCTGGCCAATACCACCGGCGGCACCGAGAACGGTGACCTTGGAGAGCTATAGGGGAAGGCATGTTGTCAGCTGGATGGTCTTCGTATTTGTTTGTTTGTGTGGGTGCCAATGTGGTGATGATGCATATGTCTTTGTTGACATTGGACCATCACGAAGCTTCATAGCTCTGTGTCTCCCTTCAGTTCCGGGCGCCGAGGTCGGCTTTTCGGAGCTATGGAGAGGAGAGCTCTGCTTGATGCACAGGTAATGAGGAATTGCGAGCTAAGGGGTAACTTACGCTTCTCGCCGAGGCGGAGAACATGCGGCGCTGGACGAAAGACATGATTGCGACGAGGAGGAGGGGGATGTGTAGTAGGTAGATGGTACACAAATGGGATGGAGGAAGGAGGAAGGAAAAGAGCAGAGGTTTAAAAATTTATGAGGCGCGCGAAATAAGTTGGCAGGCACACAGCAGCAGCGAGTACTCCGTACTCCGTACGTACACTGGTGACTGGACAGGTCACAGCCCAGCGGACGGGAGCCACAGACAGTGGATGGACGGGGGGCCGGGAATGGGAGGATGCGGCCTTGCGAGTGGGTGAAGCGGAAAAAGATGGGCCGTCCAGGTGTCCACCTCACTGTCCACTGCGGCCTGCCAGCTCTTTCCCCCGTCATTCCCGGTGGTCACTCACTCACTGCTCCTTCCCGTCTCCTTCTCGGGCTCGCTCTTGCCCTCCAGTCCCAGGGTCGCTACGGGGTAAAAAGTACCTAGGGACTGCACTGCTGACTGACCGGGACCTGCTTTCTTCTTTCCTGAGGCTGCGAGGTGCGAGGGCAGGCCGCAGGAGTGATCACGATTCACCAGCAAAAACAGCAGGAACAAACCCCACGCCAACTCCAATCTGGGACTAGCGCCACGGCCACCCGGAAGACTACGGGGAAACGCCGGAGAGGATACGTACTCCACACGCTTCTGCGGTGCATTCTGTAGCATCTTTTTTCCCTTCCTTTTCTTCCTCTCAGCTTCCCATCGCCGAGCTTGGTCCCCGACCCTCCACAGCTGCCACTGAACCCCGGAACGAGAGATGCAGTCGACACTGCCGCACCCTTTAGACACCCTCGGATGGACGGACGGTCTGATCATGGTGGCACATGCTTCTCTAGATACAACTGTTGCAACACTTCTGCTGTGCATGATGATAGCTACACAGTAAACAACCGCGCATCGATGCTTCCCTCGACCCGAGGTTACGGTAAAGCCTGCTGAAGTGTACGAATTACCCTTCTCGACTACTACTGTTGTATATTAGTGTACAAGAAAGGCAACGGACGCAATGGGTGGACGGATGGCCGTCCCTGGGATCCCCCAGCATCCGTCGGAGAACATGTTGCACTGTCGATGAGAACCGGCTTGCTTCATGTGACATCTTCTCAGACAGCCTTACTCGAGATATGCATGTCTTCCCTGGCCCTACCCATGAAGCAAACCGAGGATGTACACACACAATTGGGGAAGCCAGACCACACCATCTCACTGGTGCGCATGTTGCCTTTTCCTGCGCCGCCGAAAAGGTGTGCAAGAGTTCTGAAAACGCCGCAACCGGCGCCGACTCATGACCTCATGACCCGCCAGTCTTGTACGGCCCGCGCCTTGCAGCCGGCTTTCACCCGGCTCCGACTAGCACCTCCCGGTCTGTGGCATCCGATGATGTTGTGTCTTTCCACTGCCGTAACCTACAATATCAAGTCTGGAGGCGACGGTCTGCATCTGAGGATGCCCTAGGTACTCATGATGTAGGATAGTCCGGCTGAACACCAGACTGTTCGAGAGTTGTTAGAAACGTTCATCGACTTGTGCCAAGCTCTGCCCTATCACGCATGGGAAACCAGAGATGACCAGAAGGACAGCTTGACTAGGTTCTCTAGACGTGTCTTTATCTAAGGTACATATGACCGAGTCTGGTAATAGACATGGGCTAGTCAGCACCTACACCAAAACTTGTGATACATGCAAAACTCATTGTCCTCTATTTACTTCGATATGCTGTCCAGCAATTTGCCTTGAGCACTTTCGGTATTCTTGACTTTAGAACTACCCAGTTATACATCTGTCAAATATGAACATATTGGCTAATAAACTACAATTGGTCAATGCTCAAGGTACAATCTTGCTTCTCCCCAGTCCGGTGTCAGAGGAGCTCTCAGCACGCCGAGTGACTCTTCGGCGATGCAGCGGGGTTTGCCGGCCGGCCACAGCGCTACCCCCACCATAAAGTTGACCGTCGCGGGGGAGCTGTGGCGCTAGCTTCCAGGAACATCAGCTAAAGAAAGACCCCGCCACTTTTGTCAATTTCATCATCATTCTCAAACCCGTGAACATCTCAACTGCTGCGACAACAGCCACTCTCTCTTCCATCCCCAAACAACTGCGATCACGTATCGAGTAACAGCAGTCAAAACCTCGAAAACTCACTCCAAAAGAAGAGATATAGAGCTCCCAACATGTCTCTGGCGCAGCTTTCCCGCCTGCTGCCTCTCCCCGAGGATGAGCTGAAGCAAATGCTCGACTACGCAAACACATTGTCGAAATCCGAAGCCGCAAACCACTTCAACGACTTGCTAGGCGACTCCCCACAGGCTGTCGAATTCATATCTTCCTTTAATTCTCGACGACAAGAGAAGAAGACGCCGGCCCCAGCGCCCCAATCCAGTTCCATCAGCTCAAGTGCCCCTGAACCTGCACCAAGGACATCACGAGGCCCCAAGAAGAAGAAGGCCAACATACACACACCGGCTGCGAGGCAGATAGACGCTGCGCCTCCTCCGGGGGCAAGCTACAATAAAAAGTCGCAGGAGGATGAGTGGTATGGAGGGAAGAAGCCAGCTCAGGCTGCGGAGAGCAGTAGCAGCAGCATCAGCACCGCCTTTCCACAATTGGGGGCTCCGTCGTCGGGTTCCAAACAACCACCAAAGAGCGCAGCTCCCCCCCCACAGCAGCAAAGAACGGCCGGAGGCTACTTGATCTCCGACGTCAAGGCCAAGCCCAAGTCGAACCCCGTGTCACGATCCTCTACTCCCAAGCCTACGACGAAACCTACAAAGATATCGATTGCCGGCGGTACGCCAATGGCGGGTGCATCCACGGCCCTCAATGACCTGGATGCTGCCATTAGGTCCCTGGAGGTGACGACGAACCCGACAATGGGCGACGACCCGAAAGCCAGGAGGTGCAATTGTGTTGCTACACGGCACCCACTGCAAACGGCAGCGCCCAACTGCCAGTCATGTGGCAAGGTCATCTGTGTCAAGGAGGGTCTCGGGCCATGCACATTCTGTGGCACGCCTCTACTGTCATCGGAGGATGTTCAAGGAATGATACGGGAGCTCAAGTCCGAGCGAGGAAAGGAGCGCATGGCTGCCGACAGAGATGCTCACAAGCGCGCCGAGGTCAGCAAGAAGCCGGCGCCGTTTACCCAGCACAAGATGTCCGAGGCGGAGGCCAAGGCAAAGGAGCACCGGGACAAGCTGTTGAACTTTCAGGCGCAGAACGCGCGGCGAACAACGGTCAGAGACGAGGCGGCTGACTTTGATGTCAGCGGGGCCATGGCTGGCAGCGGAGGCAATATCTGGTCGACGCCCGAGGACCGTGCCAGGGAGCTCAAGAGGCAGCAGAAGATTCTCCGCGAGATTGAGTGGAATGCGAAGCCCGAGTACGAGAAGCGACGGCAGGTGGTCAGCATTGACGTGGTGGGTGGGAAGGTGGTAAGAAAGATGGCAGCTGTGGAACGGCCGACGACGCCGGACGAGGAGGATGTTGCTGTGGATGAAGATGTGGACGAGAATTACAGCCTCGCTAGCCAACGGCAGGGTGGACAGGGTGGACAGGGTGGTGGTGGTGGTGGCGGCGGTGCCTTCAGTCAGAATCCTTTACTCGGAGGACTGATCAAACCGGTGTGGGATGCCAAGGGGAAGGGAGCACAGCTGGAGGGCCGCAAGGACAGAAAGACGCAGTGGAGGAGGGTACAGGACGACTTTGGGGATAATGAAGCGGTGATATTGGATGGCGGGGCGCATGGATACTCGGCGACGGGTGATGAGCCAGCGTGCGGTTGAGTTGTCTGTGGAGTGGTCGTGGAGCCAGGAGTGTGGAGGATCCTCAACATGTGGCATGCTGGATGGTTGGGTTAGAGTCTCTTATAGATGAGACATGTCGCATTCCTCGGGGAGTAATGTGTTTAAAACAAAGCATTGTCAAGCGGTGACGGAGGTGCAGTTGGTCGGTTGTATACATGACATGGTTGGGGGATCCGATAGAACCCATCTGCTCCGTAGTGATAGAGATAGATCATCCGTACGGATACCAATTAGATGTCGAATGCTCGGTTCACATTTGGGCTTGGGCAAAAAACACTTGATCTCCAGGGTATCCGGTGGATGGCCCAATCACAAACATAGACAAGGCCTGGAATAGCAAGTTGATGTTTGATGAAGAGCAAACATGATGCTCCGGGAATTCAGTTTGTTGTGAGAGGTTCAAGGAAGGGTGCCGTCGAGGTGAGGAAAAGGTACCCGGATGGACGAACAGATGGTGGTGGTGGTGGTAAAAGGTACTTTGGTACAACATCATGTGACTTCGTGTCTTTGACCTGCTGAGTCAGGCCGAGCGGGAAGCCGGGCGTGTCGCAGTCGCTCGAGTTCTGCCGCCACAGCTGTCCCGTCCTCGGTCGGGTGTCCTTTTTTTCTGGTAGGCGCGGCCACGACTCGCTCCAGGTACCTGCCTACTAATAACTAATTGGCTGAGTTCTGACATCAGCGCCACTGCAACACTTTGGCACACTTCATTCTTCTTGTTCACTCTTTTGTCACTTTTGTTTTCTGAACAGAGTATTATTCGCTTTGAGAAGATAGGCATCCTCTTGCGTGACCACTGACTGGGGTCCCCGTCTGTTTAGCGAAACGCACCCCAAGAGCGTTAGGTTAGGAGGACTGGAAGGGGGGAATTCGCCATTGTTACAGTGGAGAAGCCGCTGCAAGACACAGCCGAGAGACACTGGAAACTCCCCCAGAACAACGGGCCAGAACAAGAGTCAACAATCCATGGGCAAGGGATCCGACGGAAACACACACACGCACGCGCACACACACACACACACACATCCACCAAACGGGACACACCTGGGCAGAAAAAAAGACATACGGGGACTTTGAAAGAGAACAACCGAAGACAAGGTGGGCGAAAATAACGCGACGCAGACCGCGTAAACCGCCCTTACCACCACCACCACCCCAGCCCACCTCAGTTATCGCTCCTCTCTTGCTCCTCCCGCCCAGACTCCATCTCCCCCCCGCCTGTCCATCAATCCCCCAGCTAATTATCGTCCCTCTACTGCGTAAAGTCGGCCTAACCTTAGGTATCCGCGACCGTTAGCAGATGCCTCGACAGCGGACACCACCGCATGTGTGACCTGCCTAGTGTCGTCCGCGTATACAACCACAGCCTAACACCACACTCAGCACTGCACCCGCACCGCACTGTTCCTCCACCACACCGCACACCCGATCCTCGTCGCAACCCTCACCCGTCACTTCGGTCACTCCTACACCTCCGACCACCAAATCCTCCTCTACCCTCCCCTCGCCGGCCTCGCTGCCGTATATAGTCCTCAGCGGTGTTTGTATACACCCTCGGGCGTACTTGCTCCCTCCCCCTGCCGGCCGCCCGACGCCTCTATCATCGCACCTCAATCCGGCGCATCACCAGTCTGTCCGCCATGGACTCTGCCTCCATCCCGCCTCGGCTGGGCCACATACACGAATCCGACCGACAACACTTCAAAATGCACTCTCCTGCGAGTCTGCAAGACACGGGGTTGCTACCGGATAAAGCCGCTCGTCGTGCCCTGCAGCCCTCGACCCGGCCCCAGACCGTCGCCTCATCCGACGCGCTCCCCAACGACAAAGCCGCATCCTTCTCGGGCGACGCGACTGCGAACCACCGCCACAACCTCCATAACCACGTCCACGTCCACGCACACGGCCAACAACCCCAGCCAAACTACCAGCAGCCCTCGCAACCTTTCGTAACATCAAATAATGTTCCTCGCATAGCCGATCACCAACCGCTCAAGACCATATCAATTGCTGCACCCTCCGTGTCTTCCCAGCTCACTCCATCCGCCCATCAGCGACCGCTCCCATCTTCTGACTCGCAGACCTCGAGCCTGTCCGCCGAACCCGCCAACGTCTTCACGCCCCCCACCAGTCAGGGTGACATGCCAGGAGGAAGCCTGAACGGTCACGATTCCAGCCAAGAGTCGCAATTACTCCAACTATCCCACATTGCCGCCGCCCAGGACAAATTGGCCGAGGACAATGTAATGGCAACTGCTCGGAAGCGAATGGCCGACGGTGCTCTTAAGGAGAACACCTCTCCTGTCCGGATGGGACACTCGAGGAATACGAGCACCGTCAGCATGGCTTCGACTACAGCCAGCAGTATCGGTGATGTAAGTTGGCACGCGGCACTATAAAAAGAAACCTTGGCTGACCCATGTGTTATTTAGTGGTCCAGCGATCTTAAAACGCGCCTTTCCTACGCAATGCTCAAGGTGAATCACGGCTGGCAATCACATTCGATTGATGAGGTCGAATCCATGGCCTCCCAAGCCGCTTCGCCTACCTCTAGCCATTCCACCTTGCACGGCCGCCAAGAGCTGTCTGCAAGTCCTCGCGCCAACATGGCTCGTTATCAACCTGTCAGTGCCGCCACCACAGCAAGCTCTGGCCCAAGCCCTGCAACGTACGAGTCCTTTTGGAAGGAGGGACAAAGATCCGCGCATACTTCTGCTTCACCTCCAGCACCCGTACAAAATCAAAACGTCCCTACACTTGCACCGCCTGCTCCGATTCAGCCGTCGAGGCCAATGGGAGGCCATAATCCACGCCGAAACTCAAATCCTCGCTATACTCCAACCCTTCTCTCCCACTCACACAGCGCTTCACCGCATACCCCTTCTCAACCGAACAACAATGCAACGCCAAATCAGAGGTTAGGCCGGACTCCACTCATCGACCCGATCCTCTTCTCACCTCATCAAAACGTTAGAGAGCAGGACGCTATCGAATCACTGCTCTTCATGAGCAGTCCCGGAAACTCAGCCAACATGAAGCACAACTACTCGGCATCGGCAGCGTCCAATTTGCCCAATCGTCACGCTCTGCCGAGTTCCCAACCCCGTAAAAGCTTGCCCTCGCAACGGCCCCTGCCGCAAAAGCGCGTGGGCTTTGAGAAGAGCCCCGGAGGTATGACGGCAGTGAGCGACATGGATATTGACATGGACTCACCTCAGTCACGAGGGCCAATGAGGAGGCGAATCAACGGAAGTGCCAGCTTCTCTGGAGGGACCGCCGGAAGCACGCTGCGTCCTCAACTGTCATTACCGGCAGCCCTGGGGAGTACTTCACGACCACGGCCACGCTTGGCGGACGCGGACATTGAGCGGATGATTGATCAAGTAGCGCAAGCGGGGGACAGCTCTGACGACGATGACGGCGAAATCCAGATTCCAGGGAGAAGTCGACCAGAAGGGACCGTAGGGGTCTGATTGCCTTTATTTTTTTATTTTTTTTATTTTTCGTTTTCTTTGCATGGATGATCACCCGGGGGATCTGCACTGCTTTGTTTGAATTGCATATACACACGCGTTTTGGCCCCGTTCGAACCGATGATTCAAGGTTCTTGGGAGAAACGCGATGATGATGACGACTTTTCTTTCATTGGGGCACATATATACACACCTGCACGCTGGGCAATGTTCGTCCAAGGTCGGGTTTTGAGTATTACACGGGCAGTTAGTTGACCGAGTTTTCGCCCGTCTTCACACGAGGAAGGGTTCTCATTTGGGGAGCATAAGGGGGCCTCGTACCTCTGGTGGAGTTTTGAATATTGGAGTTTTCTCATTCAGGATTTTATATGCATTGCATGGCTGAGGCCACGAGTAGCATCACACACGCATAGGATGGGACCTTTTGGCCACCATGCAAAATGAAAGCAAATTATTGGTTTATACAAGTTGATTTACACGCGCCGTGAGACGCTTAAAAGGTATCTGAGTAGGCCAGATGCCAACGATGTCGTATCCCGCCTGAACATTCCCATATCAACACGTCCACCTCTTCTCTCTAATGTCATAGCTGCGCAGGTATATAGTAGAAAGTGAAATCATTACATGTGAAAAAGTCCCATAACCCAAAAAAAACGCCAGTCGTAATCAAATTGTCATCATCCAGCGTGGTCTTTTACCAGCCTCCATGGTGGCCATGATGCCCGTGGTGGTCATGATGTCCGCCTCCGTGGTGAGGAGGACCGCCGTGGTGTCCTCCGTGGGACTTTTCACGATGCATCAACGAACCGACCAACCCGCCGAAGCCACCGGAGGAGTGGTGGCTACCGCCGTGGTGCGGGGGACCATGATGCGGCGGGCCGTAGTGGTGACCTCCGTACGGGGGCGGGGGGGGCCCGCCGTGGTGGTGGTGGTGGTGATGGCCTCCATAGTGGGGAGGAGGAGGCGGCGGCGGCGGCGGGTGATGATGTCCATGGTGTCCATGATGTCCGTGTCCGTGGCTACTGCTGCTAGAGTGCCCGTGGTGACTCCCACTCAACCGATGCTCCAACTTATTCGCGACAACCGCACCGCCCAACGCCCCCGCCACAGCGCCGAGTTTGCCTCCCAGAAACTTCTTGCCTGCGTAGCCTCCTGCGGCGCCGCCGCCGATGGTGGAGACGAGACCGCGTTCGCCTTCTTGGCCTGTGCCGAGTTGGGCGTCGTAGCCTGGTGGACCGGAGGATCGGGAGCGGTGGTGAGATGAGCCGGAAGAAGAGCCCGGGAGGCCGAGGGAGGAGAAGGAGGAGCGGGGACGGTCGGAGGTTGCGGAGCGGGGGCAGTAGCCTGCTTGGTCTATGAGGGGGCCTGCGGATAGATGCTGGCTGTGGCGGGAGGAGGAACCGCCGGGTGTGTGTGTGTTTTGGCGGGTGCCGCCGTAGTAGTCTTGTGCTGACATTTGAGGGTGTTGAGTGTTTGTTGTGTTGTAGTGGTGATGAAGTTGTTGGTGAGAATGTGTGTAAGTGGTTTATTATCGCTCGAGGTTTGGGTATAAGTGGCGAGTTGTTGATGAACAGAATATAGGTCCAGACAGAGAGATGGGAGACGGGGGGGCACACCGGCCTTAAGTAAACCGGTCGTCTGAACAGGTTCACAAGGGAACCAGTCCAAGCTGGCCGGTGATCAAGGCATGACTGTGACATGAAGAGAAGGCTTTCGCGACGAGGATGGATCCCGGGAGCGGCGCAAGGTCGCGCTGGGGCGGAGTTGTTCGGGCTTGAGGGCACTGGTGGTGTTGCGTAAGGCGGCGGCCCCTCTCTTTTGGGGTCACTTAACTGTCCTACAAGGAGGTACAAAGCTCGCTCCCGCGTCCATCCCTTCACGGTCACTCCACTTGGTCCCGGGGCTCAGCACCCCAACGGTTG